GGACCAAGAATATGGTCTTTTATGTTGCATGTGAGAAACCAAGCGGGCACAGAGCATTAAAGGTGGAAGGGATCTCAGATACAATGCATGAGACCTAAAAAGGGAAAATGATTTGCCCAAGGTCAAACAGCTAGTTAATGGCAAGAATATTGATTTACTGGCTCCAACTTCCTTGTTCTTGCCAGGATTGTAGCACAGCTGCTCTTATTCCCTTACGTTTATTTCCAAGGAGAAGACGGCGTAAGAAATGAAGGTGGCACATTTCTGATCACAAAAGAAGGAGATTTCTCAAAAATAGACAAGTTTCTTTCTTTGTTTTGGATTTTCCATGAGAGAGACAGAGAGAGAGAGAGAAAGAGAGAGAGAGAGAGAGAGCACATGCACCCATAAGCAGGGGAAAGACAGAGGGAAAGGGACAGAGAATTTTAAGCAGGCTCATGCCCAGTGCAGAGCCCAGTGCAGGGCTCTACGTGGGGCTTGATCTCATGAACCATGAGGTCATGACCTGAGCCGAAATCAAGAATCTGACACTTAAACAACTGAGCCATTCAGGTGCCCCGGTTTGTTTTTTTTGTTTTTTGGTTTTTTTTTTTTTGTCTGCTCTTTTGTTTGGTGGTAGTGGCTTCAGTGATTTCTTCAATGCTTCTTTTTAAATGCTTGGCTCTTGTGACTGTGTGTGTGTGTGTGTGTGTGTGTGCATATGTGTGTGCCTATGTGTGTGCATGGGTGTGTTAGAGTTAAAGGGGGACTTATGATTTTCACTACTGACATGATAACAAAATCATAGGCAACAAAGATAAAACAGATAAGCTGGGCTACATAAAAATTACAAGTGTCTTTGCATCAAAGGACACAATCAACAGAGCAAAAAGGCAACCTATGGAATGGAAGAAAATACTTGCAAACTATCTATATGATAAGGGGTTAATACACAGAATATGTAAAGAATACCCGCAACTCACCAAAGAGAGAACAAATAACCCAATTTTAAAAATGGGCAAAGGATGGGGCACCTGGAGGTCTCAGGCAGTTAAGCCTCTGACTTCAGCTCAGGTCATGATCTTACAGTTTGTGGGTCTCTGTCCTGACAGCTCAGAGCCTGGAGCCCGTTTCAGATTCTGTGTCTCCCTCTTCCCTCTCCCTCTGCCCCCCTCTCACACTCACATTGTCTCTCTCTCTCTCTCTCTCTCTCTCTCTCTCTCTCTCTCAAAAATAAACATTAAAAAATTTTCAAAAAAATGGGCAAAAGACTTGAAGAAAAGTTTCTCCAAAGATATGCAAATGATCAATAAGCATATGAAAAGATGCCTAAACACTAATCATTAAGGAAATACAAATCAGAATCACAGTGAGCTATTACCTTATGCCCATAAGGATGGCTACTATCAAAACCCCCCAGAAACTAACATGTGTTGGCGAGTCGTGGAAAAAATAGAACCACTGTGCACTGTTGGTGGAAATGGAAAATGGTGCAGCCACTACAGAAAACTGTATCAAAGTCCCTCAGATAATTAAAGGGAGGATTACCATATGATGTAGCAATTTCACCTCTGGGTATATATCTGAAAAAATTGAAAGTAGAGTCTCCAAAGAGATATTTATATGTTCATGATCATAGCAGCAGTTCACAATGGCCAAAAGTTGGAAGCAACCCAGTGTTCATGGATGAATGAATGGATAAACAATTTGTAGTATAGGCAGTGAAACAATATTCAACCTTAGACTGTATACTTAATATGATATTAAGGAACAGGGCTTGATTGGAATTAGAGGGTGGAGGAAGAAGAAAGCTGGAAGGGAAATAAATATTGAGCACTTGCCATGTATGTTTCTGTGCCAGCTACATCTGATACACTATCCTCTTTGGTATTCACGACAACCTTGTGTAGTTGAAGTATTATCACCATTTCCCAAACAATGAAACTGAGGCTCATGTATGCTAAGACTTTCTAAAGATTATCACATTAAAAATGGCAGAAGTAGGATTCGAACCCAGGTCAACTTGACTCCTTTATCCGTATATCCCATAAAATATATGTCCCCAGCATGTCATACTTTTATGGCAGCAATTATGTCTGAAACTCATAGGAAAGATCAGGAAGGTGCGGGTAGGTTGGAATTTAAATAGGGTGGTCATGATAGACCTAATTTAGAAGGTAACTGTGTTAGACAGAATAATAGCCCTCCAAAGATGTCCACATCTTAATCCCCAGGACCTGTGAATATGTTATATGACAGAGCAAAGGGGAATTAAGAATGCCAATCAACTGACCTTAAAATACGAAGAATATCCTGGGTTTTCCAGGTGGGCCCAATGTAATCACAAGAATCCTGAAGTGCAAGTAGAGTGGGAGGCAGAAGAAAAGTCAATGTCAGAGTGGGAAAGACCGGACTGGCAATTGTTGGCTTTGGATATGGCAGGGACTACGGGCTAAGGAAGGCAGGCAAGTGTCTAAGAACTGGGAAAGATAAGGGAACAGATTCTCCCCTTGAGCCTTCAGAAAAGAATGCAACCCTGGTGACACTTTCATTTTATCCCAGTGAGACCCACATCAGACTTCTGACTTTCAGAAATATATGATAACAAATTTGTGTGATTTTAAGCCGCTAAATTTGAAGTAAGTTGTTGATAGCAGCCATAGAAGAGCAATACAGTCACATTTCAATTTCTTTTGCTTAACCTGCTTTTTCCTTGAAATTCGGAATGTTTTCATTTTTTTTTTTAGAAAGGCAGTATCAATTGTACCCCAAATATGGCAAGGTTTAGGCTGTTGTTCTGTTGTTATCTTTCCTAATTGTTCCTCTGCCAAGAGAAATGTCTAAAAGACTCACCTGGGCCTGAAGAAAAACTTGAATATCATCTGTGTAAAGGTGAGAATTAGAACAGAGACCAGAATTGTGCCCTTGACCTACACTCACAATTACTGCTCTGGGCTGGAAATATTTAGGGAAGATCACTGGGACCCTGAGAAAGAAAGCAGATGAAGACATCTCTACTTACCTTGATCGATGGGGAGCATCCCCTTTACCTAGAGGCTTCTAGAGGGATCAGGAAGGGACCTGTACTTATTTGATATATATGCAAGACAGTCTTCTAGATGCTGGGTATGCATTCTGTCATTTTGTTCTTACAATACCCTATGTCATTGGCATTGTTATTCCTTGCACAACATACCAGGAAAATTAAAGCTGGTAATAGCTTAATAAAGTGGGTGACAACCATGAGTTGTTAGATCTCAAACACTAGACTATTTTTCACTGTATTGTTCTTGAACCATTTCTTATGGAACCTTACACCATTCTGAGAATTGAATGAAATCAGTAGAGTCTCTTCTCAGAAAAGTGCACACATGACCACAAACATGTATGCACATCAGTGTATAGACATTTTTATATGCAATTCTCAGGGGCCTTGAAGGTTACACACGGGTTACAAAATCTTGCCTATATGCCATTTCCTGCCATTGGAGGCAGTACGTTCTAGTGCGAGGGAGCTATCTATAAGGAAATGCCACATTGCAATCCCTTGCTCTACCATTTGCTATATTTGAAATAAGAAATTACTTAACCACTCTGTGCCTCATTTTCCTCATTTATAAAGCAGGATAGTAGTAGATCTGATCTCCTGGGGTTGTGGTGGGGATTGAAAAAGTTTTTACACAAAAAAGCACTTTTAGAAGAGTAAGTGCTTAATGGTCTTTAATAAATGCTTTCTATTATCATTGATGTTGACTTATGAGCTCCAGACTCAGGCAATATGTTTTCAAGGATAGCCTTAGTATGACGGATAAAGCAGGAAGAGTCCAAAGCATCAATAATTACAATACTTGGAGAAGAAAAATCCATGTTTCAGGTAATGCACCTGCCATCTCTATAGATATTGACTCTCTGAATAACAGGGTCAGTGGAGACAAAGGAGAAAATGCATTTTTATCTATCCAAAAGCATTTTCATGACACTTGTCTCCAGAGAATCAGTATGCTGAGAGAGAGATTAGACAAAACATCAGAAACTTGTGACTTATAACTTCAGGGGAGAAAACATTTCAGAACACCCAGCAATTTATGATGAAAGAACATTACTGAGAAGTTCCTTAGGGATGGAACAGAGAACCTTCAGAAGGTACTTGATGTGTTTCCCTCTGTAGGAAAAAGGTAGAAGGGAAAAACTGGCAATGCTTTGATCTGCTGGAAAAAAATAGTTTAGCAATCTTCATCCTCTATAAACATATCTAGTCTCTTCAATATGAGCACATTACTAAGTGTCCAACATTGCTGATAAATTTAAATAAGAGTAACCATGGTGATAAGAGGAGAAAAGTGGAAGTCTGTGTATTACCTGTTTCCTGTATTTAAGTAGTCTGCCTAAAACATCTAGAGATGTTCCAACATAGGAAAAAAATAATATTTTCAGGTTTCTTGGACATGTTGATTGGTTACTTCAACCAAGGATTTGTTGGAATAGATTTTTTCCCTAAAGAATTGCCTTGAATTCTCATTATTTCCTTTCTCTATTCCTTCCTGTATATTTTTCCCTTTTCCCTCTTTCATTTCTTCATGTATTCAAGCAAACTCAAAATATTTATTCTTATTTAAGGTAGCGTTCAGGGTGTGTGGGGAGTGCAGATCTTCACCTGATATGACCACTTAAGGAAGAGTCATACCTGCCCAACTTGTAGGTAATTAAATTCTTCAAGAACCAATTCAAAATGATAATAGGGGGAATCTTTAACCCAGGACTTTATAAAGACAACCAAAGGACTTCTTGGATATGGCTGAAGCCTTACACACTTATCCGCTTATATTGAGTGTTTACTATGTGCCCCAGGTGGCCACCTGCTAAAATTCTAGCAACATTAAAAGATGATAAAGCATCTTTCCTGTCTTCAGGAAGATGACAGTTTGGTCCAAGTAAAACTAAAACATGAACCTAGGATTTTTGAGGATAAGTTCAAGGCTATTAAGAATGAAAATAACTTCAATGCAATATTTGTTTTACAGAACTTTTGGGGAAACCACCAGAGCATTCATTCAGAGATCATTGTTTTACTATCTCTGCATCAGGGCATCATAAGCATTTGGAATGATTCTTCCTGACCAGAATACACAGATGGCATGTTTGGTAAGTGAAAGAATTCATGTAGCCTATATAACCCAACTGTTTTGCAACCAGTGCTTTGTAAAGTCACATAAAAACCAATAGTCCAGTAACTAGAAATAATTAAAAACAATGGAAATATTTAGTATAGTACCTCTCAAAAAAAAACCCAAAAAGTAATGGTAGCAGAAGATTCTAAAGTGGTGGCTGCGTTCTTGGAGGCTGGCAAAACTGCTGTAAAAATCCCCTTCCCTGTATCACTCCTTGTCAATTTCTCTTTCCCTCTCTACAGTTGTCTCAAATCTCTTCCGTCTCCCACTCCATGCACCTCAAAAACCCCTATTCTCTTCAGCTGAAACAGCCCCGTCTTTCCTCTAACATTGGCCTTTCTGGCTCAGGCCTTTTGGTTTGTTTTATGTTATCCTTTGCCTTAGTCTTGTATTCTATATAAATAAAGGAGGATCCCAAATTGACCTGGCAAGTAATATGTCTCTATCCTTTGGGAGAAGTAGGAGAGAGAAGATGGTACATGTTGATAATTTAATATCATTCCTTTTATGCTCTTCACACTTGGGTTTTTAAAAATGGAGTTAATGTTGCATGCTGTATCTTCAGAAAGGTGCTAAAAGGCCCAATCTCTGCTTTTATTTTTACTCGCACAAAAAATTGTCGTTCTGAGTCACTGAGAACCTAACTGTTAGGCCCGGATATACAATAGATTCATTGGGAGTTCACTAACTTCTTTAGTAGCAGATGAAATTTCCACAGAAAATACAGGCTTATGGCTCTCACAGAATGGGTTTCACTGGTGTGCTGGCAGGGGAAGGACATTTAGAGAAGACTTCACACGTTTCTCCACCTCTCAGAGGCCCCAGAGCCACAAACTGAGTCTATACTGGAGGAAAGGTGGAAGGCGAAGTTTGAGATTAGAGCTTTAGAATGGGCTGGACTGAAAATAGATTGTTTTAATAATCATAATGCTTCAAATGGCTGCTAACCAGTGGGAAAGGAAGATTCAACAGTAACAGTTAACAGTAACAGGGAGGAACACATCTCATGTTTTTATACCTTACAGCATTCAAGCTCTTCCTTCACCAGGCCAACTATCCTTCTCGTCCTGCACCACAGTGATTTCCGCGTGTGTACGTAGGTGTGCAGGTGCATGTAGCAGAACAAAACCTCTCCTACTTCTCTTCTTTAAAACGAAAGGGCTGTTTTATTCTTTTCTTCTAGCTGAAATTTAGAATAATTTTTCAAGTTCTAAAACAAAAATGTCAATTTGTTTTGCAAGTGGAAATGCGGTTAAATTCATAGATTATTAGAGAATTTGGCATCTTTCCAATGCTGACTTCTTCCAGCTAGAAATATGTTAGTAGCCTCCTTTTAGGCAAGATTTCTTTGTGTCTCAACACAGTTTCATTTTTCCACTACACATTCTGCACATTGGAAGGGTCGTTTATTCATTCATTAAATATTAATTGACATTTACCATGTGCTAAGCATTGTTTTAGATACTGGGGATAAAGAAGTGAAGAAACTAGACATGATGATCCTTGCTCTGATGAAGCTGAAATCCTACTGAAAAAGAGTAAAAAGGAAACTAGAGTTTTTCTAATGGTCATGCTTAGGAATTTTATGACTTTATATGGAAAGATTGGTATGTCCCTTTTGGATTATTTGCTTCCAATAGACTTTCAGAAGTTAAATTCCTCTATCTACAATTATGAACAGGTAAAGTTCAATTGCTTTCTGAAGAAGTTTATATTTAGTAATATTCCTTAGAGAAGTAATCAGTTGTGACGAGATGGCATGCAGGCCACATTTCATCTAAGCCTTAAAGAACCTGCAGGATTCTCAGGGCAGAGAACAGGGGGTGGCTTTCAGGAGTGAAGAGTAAGACACGTGGCTGTAATCACAGAGGTGCGGAGACTTGGTCAGAAATGTGGACGTAATGTGACACATCACCCAAGTTCTAAAACCCTAAGATGGTTGTTCTCTGCCCTTCATACATGACACCCCTAGGAAGTACAGTGATGTGCTGTGTGATCTTTATACCCAGAAAACTTTCAGGAATGTTCTCTTATTGACATGGAATCTGGAGGGTGACCTAGGACCAGAGGGACCCAACTCTAACAGGAACGCTCTGGGAGCCTTGTATAGTCATAAATAAATTGGGAGGAAGAAACCCCCTAAATGCCATTTGGTGAATGGTAATTAAGACTTTTCTACACTGTCCTGAGCCTTCAAGACCCTGGAGATAAAGTAATGCTAACGGATGTGCTCATTGAGACCTGGATCTCTGCCAAGACCACAGACTTAGCCTCTCATGACAGCTCAATTACTCCTTGGAAATCAACAAAATAGTTGCATCCTGATGCTCATGAAAGTGCTCCTGATATTTGTTAAGCCCTGATATATTCATTGATACTATAGTAAATATTTGATAAGTCATTAGAGCCCTCTCGGAAATAGGGAGATTAGCTGGAATTGTCTGCCACAACAAAGATGCACTCTCTACCCCACATTGCATGCAGTTTGGGTATCCTAGGAAATAGACTCCGAGGCATTGATGTGTGTGCAGTAAATGCACTGGGTAATGCTGTTGGGGTGAATAACTGTGGTGTCGTGAAAGCAGAGGAGCAAGTTGAAAGAGAAGGAGACCCTAGCAGCCTGTGATCTCACAACGAAGGCGGCAGTTCTGGAGCTGGATGCTCTCATGGAGTTGTCCCCCTCCCCACTGATGCAAGGGGAATGCAGGTATCCCCCACTTTCCAGAAGTTCCTCTTGCACCACATCACATTTAGGAAGACCTACTTTCGTATCTATCTTGCTAACTGGAAGAAATCCAAAGAGGAAGTTTGCTTTTTCAAAAAGAGCCTTTACCATACGAATGTAGGTCTTTCCTAAGAGCAGAGTGGCATATTGTGAACTTTCAGAAAGCAGGGAGATACTCTTTGCTTTACCCCATTTCTGCTTACAAAAGTTTGCATAAGAAAGAGCTACTTCAGAGAGCAGGGGAAATCTGCAGTCCTTTGTACTTGGGTATTGACCAGTCATTGGATGTGAGCTGTGTCCAGGAAGGAGATTGACCTTGGAGGAGTGGGTTCTCTTCATCTCATAGCAGTGCTCCAAGGGGATTCAGCTGAGAGCTGGCGGCAATCAACACTCCCAGCAGTTGGGGGAATAGATACCTTGGTCCTCCAGGGAAGGATCTAGGTGGCACAACACAGCATACACTGCATTTCTTAAAAAAGAAAGGCTACAGATTTTAATTGCTTTCTTCTTTCTTGTACTTCATGCATATCAATGAAGGTGTGAGTACATGTTCTCTCCTCTGCAGCCTTTGCTCCCAAGACTAGACTTGAACTTATAGGATTTAAGGTCCTGTTCTATAATTAAAACAAAGAACTGTGAGAGCACATTTGAGGTGTTGGTGGGATGGGATTTATGCTCAGTGCTCTTTAATTCCTTTTCCATCTCTCATAATTGTTACAATTATGGACATTCTGACCCTAACCCTATTTTACTCTGGGTGTTATAAATGCTCTCTCTGGTCCAAAGTAATGTGGTGTAGTAAAAAGTTTTAAGAATAGACCAGGATTAAATCTCACTTTGCCACTTGTTAGCTTTGTAATATTCAACCACTCTGAGTCTTGGTTTTCTAACCTATACAATGGAATAATAATCACAATTCTAATAGTTAGCATAGGATTTTATGAGAGAACATATCTGTGACCCAGATGAAAGCTCTCTGAAAAGTAATAATAAAAATGAAAATAATTCTAACAGCAGCCTGTATTTCTGAGTATTTTCTATGTACTCGGTACAGTACTAAGGGCTTTACTTCGGTTAAGTAAAGTAATCTTTACTGAATCTTCACACAAAAATCATAAGTTATGGTTATTTTGACAGAGATGAAACTGATGACGGCCAGAGGGGAGGAGGGTGGGGATGGACGAAGTGGGTGAAGGGAGGTGAGAGATACAGGGTTCCAGTTATGGACCAAATGGGTCCTAGGAATAAGAAAGTACAGCATAGGGAATATGGCAATGGTAGTGTTACAACATTGCATAGTGACAGATGGTAGCTACACCTGTGAGCACCACATAACATACAGAATTGTGGAATGAATGGATTATGTTGTACACATGAAACTAATGTAAACATCATGTGTCAACCATACTCAAATTAAAAAGAAATAAGTAATGATAAAAATTGAAGTTAAAAATATGAATAGAATTGGAATAAAAGAAATAAAATTGAAACCGTTCAATAAGCTTTAAAGATATGGCTATTTTATGGTTATATGGCTCGGGCAGTACCTAAAATATTTAACACGTGATATGGCTTGGTTACAGATCAGTCAGCATGGAAGCAATTGAAACAGTTGTGGTAAGCATCTGATTATACCCATTTTACAGATGGGGATATTGAAATATGGAAACTTCAGCTAGCTTGCCTAAGGACATAAGGCCTACAGGTAGCAGAGAAGGGTTTAAATAGTCTGATTTCACAGACTATAAACTTAAAGGGTTTTCCTAAACTGCCTCCCAATCTCAAGATCTAGCTGGGGTTGCTTGAAACCTTCCATTTTATTATCTTGAGAATCCCTAATCTTACTGAGTTTTCAGTATAGCTCTGACCCACCAGACCCAGCCATCATAGCTATTTTCTTACTAATACTCTAGACCTTCTGCCAAATGCAATTGCCAGGGTTTATTGGACTAAAGGCTAATGTTATGAGTCACTCAGAGCCAAAGAGATTACTGTAATTATAAGGGACAACAGCAGTTATTAAGAGTGATTGTGGTAAAAGCAAGCTTAAAATTAAGTTTATTTAAGTAGTTCAATCAGGAGAAATATTAAAATCCAGACTTGGGTGGAGAGTGACTTGGGTGCAAAAGAGTGAGGGTGACATTAATGACAAGGAAACTCTCAGTAATAAAATGACATAAAATACCATAACCATGTTAATTCCACTTCCTACAGGCTCTTTGACAATGGCAGGATCTGGGGACTAACACAGAAGGCTATTCCCTGAAGCAAAATGGGTTGATCCAGATGCAGATAGCAAAACAGATCATCATGATGGAGACATGGGGTAAGCATAGAAACAGATGCAAGTTTCTTTTACTTTGTCTGAAAGAAACACAAAATGGAATTCTTAGAGGAGCATCCCCTGGAAACCACAACTGAAATCTCTACATCCACTTCAAAAGACTCATGCTAACTATGAACTGTTGAAGTAGAATTGTGTCTGATGTGTGTGTGTGTGTGTGTGTGTGTGTGCACATATATGTATAGCTGTATGTAGTTTGTTGAGTGACTAGTGATCAAACATGTGTAAGTACCTGTTAAACTTGTGCAAGTAAACATACATACAATGTACATCTCATAAAGTTACACATATGCAGAGACAAGAGGCCAATGTCTATGAAGCCTTCTCTGGAAAACCCCATTCTATATCTAAACATTAGACCCATCTATTCCTTCCCTGTGTCTAAATCCAAGCACTTCCTGTACTTTCTTTGGATACTTTGACTTTGGTTATTTGTGCTTCTGGCCCCCCTCGATCAACACTTTATCTCCTGCTCATGCCTTATCTCACCCCAACTGTTATCTCAGTCAATTGGATCTAACCTACAGCACCTGACCTCTGGCTGACTTCAGGACCCCAATGAGTTCCAAACTGATGCCCCCCCACCCATCTTACATTGTCTGGTTCAACCCAGCCAGGCAAAATACACTCACACACCACAGTAAAGGCAAATCTGGAACACTCCAATACTATTTATGGCAGTCACTCATACCTTCAATCTCTATTTTTATCATTCATCCAATAGCTGATTCTTTAAAACATATATTGATTAACAACCTACAGTAGTCAGTGTCTAATAGGGAAGAATTAACAATTTAGGGAGAGTTTAATAAAGGTGGGGCCAGGGTTAATGGAACCAACAAAGAATTATGCAGTGCCCCAGGGCAAGAAAGAGAACCCCTTAATCACTCATAGTTTTGAAGACTCAAGGGGAGGGACCAGTAGCTCGAATCCTGAGATAGTTTGTGGCCTTAAGTAGGGAAACAGAGGCAACCCATGGAGGGTTGGCTACGGGAAAAAGCCAAGGGGAAAACATCCCAACCTCACCATCTCGTCTTTTATGTCCTACCTGTGCTTCCCACTAGCCAAACCCAAGTGGAATCACAAAGCAAAAGTCCCCTCTGATGCCATTCTTACAGTTTCCATGATGTAGAGTAAGGAGTGCAGACAGTGGATTGAGGGTGGGTGTGAACAAAAGATATCCAGCACATCTGTCATGTACCTCATCTGTGATATGTGTTAAAAATACAAATACTTGTGGGTCATCTTTATCTTCAAGGAGCTTACAATCTAGTGGGAGAGAATCATAGGACCACATGGCATATGTAATGAGAGAGGTAAGAGGTGGTTGTCATGGACACACAGGGGAGCCCACCAGGTGGAATTGGGGTGAGGGATTGGCACTGATAGATGGTAAAATGCCAAAGCTGACCATTAGAGTCTGAGTATGAGTCGGTCAAACAAAGGGAGCTCGTGCAGCAGGGAAGAAGGCACAGCTTTCCCCGCTGAGAGAATGGTATAAGCAAAGTCCTCAAAAGACACAAGAAAATTAGCTTATGTAACCAATATATTTGGGGGTGGGGGGTGTGATGGATCTGGGGGTTTGAATTATATTTTCTGAACCTTTATTTCATGTTGGTTCTATTCTTGGATGGCCTCTCACCTTAGAGTGGTAGGATGGAGCAGTGGATCCAAGCTTCTGCCTCCGGGATTTGGATTTAAAAGAGAGAGATCATTCTCCTCTAGCCCTTCAAAGATGGCGGGATTTCTCATTCCATCTGACTTATACATGTGCTTATCTCGGAATCCCTGTAGGCAGGCAGATGCCCTCCACCTCCCAAGTGGACACATAAAATGGGAACCAGGGATGATATACCTGCAAAAGATCCTTTGGGTGTATTTTTCTGAAAAAAAAAAAAAAAAAAAAAGAGAGAGAGAGAGAGAGGCAATACAACTAATTGTTCCATGACAGCCAGTTTCTACTGTCTGTTATTTTTCTTTTCTCCTCACTTTATTCCCACTTAACTATCGTTAAACCCAACATTTTGCTTGGGAAACCAGGACATTTCTGATGGGAGGGATGCAGATGTGGATATGCTCACATGATGAGCTTTGATCTTATTACATAACGTTATTTCATGTCATTATTATGGACACATTCTGATGGAGCAGCCCAAGGTTTGCCTAATGTCTGTGAGGTTGCAAAAAGGAACCTCCAAGATCAGATTCTGAGTTCTAAAACAGATTGTCCTACCTCTCCACACTGATGGAAGGTTTCCTTTCTTTATCTCTCTGCCTTCCTATTTCTCTATCCACACCTGCCTTGGCTTATGGTAAGCTAAGATCTATTTTTTTCCTACTGCTCTTTAAATATAGCAATAATTGATTGACGTCACTATACATCTACACCCACTTGTTTTCAAAATGAGGAGATACCACCACCACCAACAGCAAAAACTAATGAAACCATCAAAAAACCACTGCCTAAGAATACTATTAACGCGAAGTAATATTCAAGATGTCTGTCTATATAGATATAACTATGAGAAAAAAAACCGGATTACTATCTTACACCCTGCATGCTTTTAAATGTTTCTATTTTGGATTATTTTACATGCTATTTTAAATAAAGTATTACTTTCAATTGTGTTTAGCAAAAGTGAAGGAAACTGCACTGATATCAAAATTATTTCTAAACTTCAGACAGCATTTATTTACTACCTTACGAGTTCTCTTACCATGCCCTTTGGTTGGCAGGATTTCATCAACTCTTTTTGATAAAAAGGGCTCAGGTTTGAGAATATCTGCCTAGTGCTCCGTATTTGAGATACTATTTGATGGTGTTTAATTTTCTTTAGAATTGTGTAGACTTATGTAAGTTGTCTTTGGCACTAATTGGTGCCACAGAGAACTTCTAGATAAATCTGATTTTCCTCCTTATAAGCAAATTTCTCCTATGCCTGGATGCACAGTAAGTCTGTCTTACAAAAGTCATTATTTTCTGGGAACATACAGTATTATTTTATTCTGAATATTCAGTTCTCCCCTGATTCCAAGTCCTCTATTTCACATACACAAATTCCACTTTATCTATGGTTGAGTCTATAAGAATGCCCCCCTTTCCATAGACCATCACGGTGTTACCACAAACTCTCTGTCACTCATTAAAATTCTCTAATATAACTTACTTGTTTCTTTTTGGTTTAAGTTTATGATTTTATGGTGGTGTTTTACTGTCTATCACCTTTTTCATATAATTCTCTTATTTTCATGCAATTATCTTATTTAGTGATCTTTGAACTCTTGGTTATTGAAAAAAATATATGTATGAACACTTAGAGAAAATGTTATTCTTTCCTTTGGGTTATGTTTGTTTTTCCAGACTGGATTAATCTTTTTCGAACCATATTCATTTCTTGAGTGCACATTTGAGTGTTTAGCTGTAGCTAATTTTGCATCGAAGGTCATGCTACTTTGTTGAATATTTTTCTCAAGTCTGTCTTGCTCAGCTAGGCTTTCTCTTGAACTCCTAAAGTATCTGGAATCTGTCTGAGCTCTCCTGGATCTATTCTGAGGCGAGGTTGTTTCAGTGGGAGGGAGAGGGCAATCTCCATGAGGCTGTTTAGTTTCACTTATATTAGAGTATTGCTTTCTTTTTCTGAAATATTTTTAATTCCCTATATCATCATTTATATCCCATAGTTGGAAGTGTATATCTTATTTCCATGAGTTGATGTGCTTAAGTTTTGATCATTCTTCCAGTTCACCAGTGATCTCTAGGAAAATACTGTGACTCCTAGCAGCAGTGTGTGTGTGTGTGTGTGTGTGTGTGTGTGTGTGTGTGTGTGTGTATGCGCAGACATACAGAGAGAGAGAGAGAGAGAGAGACCAAGAGAAAGAGAAAGCAAGTACCTCTGCTGAGATCTTGAAATCTTCAAGGATAGAGTCTGGGGTCCTAGGGATTTGAAAAAAAAAATATTTCCTTAGTCTGTCTATTAATAATAATTTCCGATTAGGGGGTATTGATGAACCTTTCCAGAATTTTATTTACTTTCCCTATTTTTCTGTCACTAGGATGGGAAGTAGGAGCTGTCAAGTGACCACTTCTACTCCTTGTGAGCCTAACATTATATCTAGTTTCTTGCTTACTTGCTGCTGATGGGTTTTTTGCTGACACTGTTTTGGGGGTGGCGGTTGTGTTAGGGAATAGGAAGGAAGACTGTGTGACCCAGCTTTACCCTCCCATCGTGCCTGCATGTTTTCAGAGCTAAATTTCATGCTCACTTGCAGCAACACTTTTCCTTCTGGTTTTTGGCAAACGAATTTCCCTGCTTCGTCTACGAGGTGTTGAGGAGGATGGTCATCATCCTCACCCTGATTGTATTCATCAAACTGCATCCATGCTTTAGGTCAAACTTGCCTCAAATAGCTTTTGGTACAGGAATGGAGAACTCTAAAGAGTTAGAGGAAAAATAGATAGCATCTACTTATTATCCTCCAGTTTGCCGTTGAAGAAAATGGCCCTAGAACAATTAAGTGGACATCCCATTCACACAACTGACTGTTTTCCAAGAGAGTTCTAGATTGCGAATGAAGCCAACTTTGTATTAAGGCTTAAACTTATTCTCAAATTATTTCTGTGACCTGGGTCGAAATATTTAATTTTTTTACAATCATTTTCTTAATCTGGAAAATGCAGTTAATCACCTGCCATGCAATATCGTGAGGCTCAGAAATAATTTAGCATATTGTCTGACACATCATACTTAACAGTTAGTAGCTCCAGTTGGTGCTACCTCTTACTTTCAGTATGTAGTCCTTTCCTTTAGACAATATCGGGATAGAAAATTCCCCCTCTATGTTGAACAAATTTTATTTTCATCTTCAGAAAGAGAAAAATAGTGGCTAATGTTTATCATCCCTGTTTTCCTCTACTAAATGCAAACAAGTAAATACTGTCACAAATGAAAGCACGTGTAATGAAAAACTCAGCTTGATTTATT